CTCTCTCTCTCTCTCTCTCCCACTTTCTTCCTTCCTTCCTTGCAATAATCAGTGTTGGTTCTCTCCACACACACCCCTATTATTCTTCACTTTCATTGTAAATGATATGATCAATTTGTTTTTTTCCTTTTTTTCATTTTCTTTACACGTATGTAACTATATAATATAAATATATAGATGTAAGCATTCTGAAGGGTAAGAAAGCAGGCTATGGTCTGTAGAATTAGGAAGTGATAGTGATTCTGGCTTTTTTCTGATTCCATCATAGCCAGCATCCTTGCATCTCCATTGTGACTTTGAAATCTCTGTGAGGTAGGTTTCATTACTTAGCAGACCCACAGGGGGAGAACTGGTCTTAATCCCTACTGGCTCAGAGCCCCCACCTTTACCCACAGCACAATTCTGCCTCAGGAGGCTGCGCTGACTGGGCACAGAGCTGCTGGAATGTGTCACGTGGCCTCCTTAGTGGCGTTTGAAAGGGGAGGGCCTAGAGTCTCTCCTCAGCACTCCCCACCTGCCTAGTCCTTAGAGATTTGTAAATGAGCTTGTGTGACGAAAGGTCACAGAGTTGTAGAATTATGTTCAGAGTATTGGGCAGTAAACAGGGGTATTGGACAGAGGTTGGCAAATTATAACCTGAAGGTCAAATCTAGTCTGCCATCTATTTTTGTAAAGAAAGTTGTATTGAAACACAACCACATCCATTTGTTTACATATTGTCTGCACTACAAAGGCTGAGTTGAGAAGTCTTAACAGAGACTGAATGGTACACAAAGCCTGAAATATTTACTTCTAGGCCTTTTACAGAAAAAGTTTGCCATCCCCTGGTGTAGGGGACTACAGTGGAGAGCGTGGAACTTTCTAGAAATGCCAACTCTCTGCTCAACCCTAGACCTGCTGATTCAGAATTTGCATTTTCACAAGATCCACAGGTGATTTGCATTGCTCTGCACATTTTGAGAAGCATGGGCCTAGAAAATCGTCACTTCCAAGTGGCTTGCCCAGGAGAATCAAAAAAAGTTGCACAGAGTTAAGGAAAGACTTTAATTTACAGAATGAAAAGACCCACTTAGTCACAAGCACAAGAAAAAAGAAAAAACATACTCTTGTACACTTAGACCTACCTTCATGAAATGTCAGAGTGCCAAGGAGAAGGTGATTCCAAAATGTGAACAGCAGACAACAATTACACCTGGGGGGCTTCCAAAGGCACAGGAATCAGATCGGCCCCAGACCCTGTATAAGCTAGAGGACAAATGGAGCGACGTCTTCAGAATTTTGAGTGAAAATGGTTTTGAACTGGGATTTGGTAATGTCGTCTATCCAGCTATTGAAGGGAGGGGCAGAAAAAAAATCTTATTTTCACCCTGTCAGGAATTCAGAAAGTTTGCCTCTCACACACCTTTTTTTTTTTTTTAATGTTAGATATTTGAAGGTTTACGTGGGCAAAACTACTAGAACACCAACCCAAGGAGACATGGGATCTATGGTATCAGTGGGTCTGAGCCAGAGGAGGACTGAAGGGGGGCCCAGTTGGCAGCAGGTGGGGGGTGGACAGTGGGTGGGGATGAGGGAGGAAAGACAGGGCGAAGATGTCCTCAGCCACGTGAGAAGCTAGAAATAGTCACTGTGTTGATGGAACTAGAAAGACAGGTATACATAGACAAAGAAGGTGTCGCCGGCTGAAAACAAGCTAAAACTGCAAAGAAAACTAAAATGGCATAGTTTACTTAAATTATGCATACGTAAGTCCTAAACCCACACTACTCTAGCATGTTCCAACATTATCAATATGCGAATGGAAACATTCAGTTTTGATTCGTTTTTTTTGGGATGACTTCACTGCTTGGCATCTGTTCCTGCTCTTTTGGGGAACAGGCCACTGAATCACCTTTGGAAATACCCCTCCTCCACTCTCAGTCCCCATGCTGTGAGTGACTGTAACTTCACCCCTCTCTCATGCCACGCCATGGGGGTGATGCAGACCAATCCCTGCAGCCTATCCCGCTGGCCACAGGGATGGGGTTAGGGATGGGCTTGTGATGGAAGGCTGTCCCACAGGACACAGTCCGGGATTCTGGTTGGAAAAAGAAATTCTTTTTCTTCCTGGGTTGCTAGTTGTCAAAATACTGTAAACTGGCACTCAGCACCTTCTCATGCAGAGGGCCTGTCTGAGAGAAACGAACACAGAAACCAGGACTCAGAGGCAGAGGGAGTGGAGGAGAGAGGAGGGGGGTTTCCCATATCTGCAATCTTTTTTTTTTTTTAAGATTTTTATTGGGGAATTGGGGGATGGGAACAGTGCTGGGGAATTGGGGGAAGGGGAACAGACAAGTTGATGTCGTTTTGTTCTTCAATCTAGTTGTGGAGAACATTGCTTCACTGGCCCAAGTTGGTACCATCATTGCGCTCTTCCCAGGTGAGACAGATCAGTCGCCGGCTTCTGGACGGCCACTCACTGCGGCTGCTGGCCGCTCACGCTGGCTGCTGGCTACACACGGTAGCCCATGGCAACCCACTGCAGCAGGGGCTGCAGCCTACGCCATCGCCAGCGACTCACGGCAGCCCAGCTCCAGGTTGAGCTGTTGTTCAGCATCTTAGCTGTAGAGGGCAGTGTCACTGGCCCTCATATGTGGGATCCGAACCGGGGCCCTCTGGCGTCCCAAGCCAGCTCTTAACCAACGCACCACTCAGCCGGCCCCATCTGCAATCTTTATGGCCCCTCCATGGCACGCCATCACCCCCAGCACACACCACACACCGGGGGTGGGGAGGTGGGGGGGGGGAGCAGGGAGGATATTATTATTGTTACTTTGGACAAATGAGAGTGAGATAGTCTGCCCAGTGTCAGACGGTTGCACAATTTTCCCAAGGTGCCCCACCTCTCCCATTCCCACCCGCCTTTTCCAGTCCTGCCGGGTGGGGGGATGTTGCTGGAATCAGGGTTTCCCAAGGGAGGTGCAGGGACTATCCGCTCTCAGGAGCCCAGAACGCTCCCCGAGTCTGTGCAGGAGCTGTTTGCTCTCTAATCGGGTCCAGCTGTCCTCCAAGTGGAGGGAGAGAAGTGTCTGGGAATAGAGGCATTTAATAACGTTTTTGAATGAATTAGTGGAAGGATTCACGGCTATAAAATGAAGGAGGTGGTTGATGGCCACCCCAAATAGGCTGCTGAGCAGAGGGAAGCCCTGTGATGGTGACACCTGGAGGGGACTGATCTGACAACAAGGGCACAGTGACCTGCAGCGGACAGAGCAGGGGAGGGCGGGCAGCTGGGACCCCGGCGCAGCCGTTGGCCCGAGGTGTGGCAGTTTGGACTAGAGCAGAGGCACTGTGACTGGAGAAGGGGGGAAAAAATCTTCAAAAAGGAATTGAGAAATATGAGAAAAACCTAGATGTCTTTTGAGAAGAAACCATTTCCTTTCACTTCTCTTTCTGTGCGAGCTGGATTAGCAGCACTTTAAGCTTCTGATTCTTGCAAGAAACGGCCTGCTGCCCGTTGCTCGGCAAAGCACGTCACGTGAGCAGGGCGGCTTGATGCGTTCCTGAGGGGCTGAGGACCAGCCCTTCCAGCAGGCTCGGATCCTGTCTGCGCTCCCAGAATGCTGGGAAACATGGCAAAGAGGTCGCCACTGCTCTTTGGTTCTGCAGCCCTTACAGAGTCACCTCCTCTGCCCCTCCACACGCACCACCCAGTCACTTTTCCGGTACCTGTGCGGTTCCCTCTGATGCTCAGGACCCCTCCTCGCTGGCTGTCTCTGGAGACCACCATTTAAGATGACCCAAGAGCAGTATGCAGGAAAACAGCGTCTTCAGTCTCAAAATCATCAGCCTGGAAAACAAGCTGGTATCTGAAAAACATCTGTTTCCCCACTTGCCGTCCCTGTGCAATCACATCTTAAAAAAAAAAAAAAATCCTCCCCGTATGCCTTGTCCTTGAAAAGAACCAACCGAAGACTGGAATTATGTCCAGGTCTGCTCGTTCTCTGGGTTTCAATAGAGAGAGCTAGCTGGATGATGTATCAGTCAGGTGTCTCGAAAAAACAGAACCAGTAGGATATATGTACGAGGAAATTATTTTAAGGAATTGGCTCATGCGATTGTGGGAGCTGGTAGGTCCAAAGACTGAAGGGCAGGCCAGCAGGCTGGAAATCCAGGCAGCGGTCGACACTAAAGTCTTGAGGCGGGATTCCCTCTGCTCTGGGGACCCTCAGTTTTTGCTCTTAAAGCCTTCAACTGATTGGATGAGGCCCACCTACATTCTAGAGGGCAATCTTTACTTAACCACATCTACAAAATACACTCACATCAACACCTAGATTAGTGTTGGATTAAACCGCCCAGGACTATGGTCGATCCAAGCTTGTGTGAGTTCCCTTTATTCTCTCCATCTGGGTGTAAGGCGTTTACGCTGAGCCCAGCCCTGTGATAGCAGCTGTGGCGCCTAATTGATCATGGGTGCTATTTCTGGGTCTTTTCTTTTCTTTTTTTCTTTTGTTCTCCTCCTCCTCCTCAAAAGTCATTTATTACTCTTTTAATCAGCTCAGGCTGCTAAACCAAATTAAACAACAAATATTTATTTCTTACAGTTCTGGAAGCTGGGAAGTCCAAGATCAAGGTGCCAGCAGATTCTGTGTCTGGAGACAGCCTGCTTCCTGGTTGCTGGTCCTCTCATGTTAGAAAGAGAGCTCTAATCTCTTCCTCTTCTCCACGAGGGCACTAATCCCATTATGGGGGCTCCACCCTCCTGACCTCATAACCCTAATCACCTCCCAAAGGCCCCAGTTCCAGACGCCACCACGTTGGGGATGAGGGTTTCAGCATATGAATTTGCGGGGAGACCCTAACATTCAGTCCATGGCAATCATATGTTAACTTTTCACGTGCTCTGACAGGTGGAGCAGAAAACAGTTTAACTCCAGCATCATCCTCACTGAGGGTCATCCTGGTGGGCAAGTCCGGCAGCGGGAAGAGTGCCACAGGGAACAGCATCCTTGGTCAGCCAGTGTTTGAGTCCAAGCTGGGGGCCCAGGCTGTGACCAGGACATGCCAGAGGGCGACCGGCACATGGAACGGGAGGAACATCCTGGTGGTGGACACGCCCCCCATCTTTGAGGCAAAGGCCCAGAACCAAGATATGTACAAGGACATTGGGGACTGCTACCTGTACACGGCCCCGGGGCCCCATGCGCTGCTGCTGGTGACGCAGCTGGGGCGCTTCACTGCCCAGGACACGACGGCAGTGAGGAGGGTGAAGGAGGTCTTTGGGGCAGGCGCCATGAGACACGTGATCGTGCTCTTCACTCACAAGGAGGACTTAGAGGGCAACTCTTTGGATGAGTACGTGGCCAACACCGACAACTGCAGCCTGCGGAGTGTGGTCCAGGAGTGCGGGAGGAGGTACTGTGCCTTCAACAACCGGGCCCCCAGGGACGAGCAGAGGGAGCAGCTGGCGGAGCTGATGGCTGTGGTCGAGAGTCTGGAGAGGGAGCACGACGGCGCCTTCCATACAAACGGCCTCTTCTTTGAGGCACAGTTGCTCCTGAGAGGTGTGTGTGTGGGGGGACACCCGTGGGGAAGGCCACAGGCGGTACCTGGCCCAGGTGCATTCACAGGTGGAAAAGCAAAAGCGAGACCTGAAGGGGACCCGGAGCAACTGGGCATTCAAGGGGCTCCGCAGGGTCCAAAAGTGGATCCCTGTGCATGTGTGTTTGTTTAGTTTGGTGCAGCTTACTTATTCTCCTTATGCTATTGATCACCTGCTTTCGTCTTTGATTCTGTGTGTCGCCTATGTGTCAGAGCCTTTCCTGAATCAGCGTCACCTCCTGGATTCATTCTTCTGTGTCCCCAATTCAGAAATTACAATAATTCTCACGGCCTGTAGAGGGCAGCCTTTGTCTACGCAGCTCCCGTGTCCCTTCTTTTCTATAGTCTCAGGTTTGGTTCAGGCCTCTGCCTCTCTCGCATGGAGCCCTGGACCGTTCTCTTCGCCAGAGACTAGTTCAGGAAGGGGCCTGAAGCCCAACGCAGGCCAAGGAGAAGCGAGTTCAGGTCTGTAGAGGTGGGGTCACAGGTCTCTCCTTTCCCAGGAGAGACCCACAGAGGGAGACAGTCCCTGTTCTTCTGGGCTCTGTTGGGTCTGAGTGCAATGCTTGGCGCTCACTCCAGCAGCCCTGGGCTTCCAGCCTGAGGTTGACGGCAACACTTCAAAGCAGAACGGGCCCGAGCCCCCGAGTCAACCAGCCCTGAAGTCTCCCCATCTCTGGGTTTCAGCCAATAAATTCCCTTACTGTTTAAGCTATCTGAGTTTGGGGTCTCTTTCCCTTGAATTTGAGGACATTTGAGCTAATGAAGAGTTCTTCAAATTCCTTAAATAAAATAAAAAAAAATCCTTAAACCTCTCAGAAGTTCCCCGTTCTCAAATTCCTCTGAGGAAGTGGCAAGAATAAATGAACTGCTTTCCTTCTTCTTGTTCCGAGAATTAGGAAGGACCTCCCTCTCTACTAAAGTGCCTGCTACATTCACTGAATCCTGAATAAAGTGAAAAATGTTTTTAGTTGGATTACTTTGGAGGATGACAGTGGGAGAGGACGGAGGAAGTGCGGCTGCCTCCAGGCAGGTGTCTGTGGTTCCTTGACCATTTGGGAGAGAAACAGCTCACACCTGAGCACTTTCTGAGCAATTACTCTGGGCAACATTCATGTGTGAGTAAAGGGTTAACAAGGCCTTTCTCCTTCTCTACTGGGAAGTAGCCTTGGGTAGCTCTCCAGCTTGACCTCCCCTGGAAATCCACACAGGTGAAATGTCATCTGGATTACCAGGTGACACTGTTTGTGGTGAAAGAGCCGTCTTGCTGGTGCACTGCGCCCGACTGGGAGGCCTGGGACTGGCCCATCTGCACACCTGGAGGGAGCCGCCTCCTGCAGCCCTGACCCCTAGGACTTCCTTGGGTCAAGTTTAGGCCTGGTCTGGATGGCTTCCCTGGAGGGAGGATGAGATCAGCCCTTGTCTGCTGGAGGACAGGACATGCCCCAGAGGACTTCAAGGCAGACACATTCAGCTCAAAGTCCTCCCATCCTCTGATCAGCCCGCTCTCCTTCTGAAGGCCCAGAGCAGTGAACGGAGCCACTTGAGACAGGGTGGCCCAAGACAGAAACCTGGTTCCCTCCCCAGTATTGCCATCAGTGACCGTATTGTGTTGATTCCACCTCCTCAGTGTCTCCCGCTGATGCCCTTCCTTTGCACCCCGAGTACTTGTGTTATGGCTCAGGCCCCAATCCCTGAGATGGAATTCTTTTCTTCTTCTCTGTGTTATCTCTGTCTCAGGCTTACACTTACACAGTTCAACCGCCACATGGCAGCAGTGTGATCTTCCTAAAACTGCTAACCTGCTGAAACGCCACCAATGACTTCCTGTTGGCTGCAAGACAGCCCGTGAGCTCTGAGGGTGACACACAGGGCCTGGCTCAGCCCCATGTGTCCTTGCACACTCCCTCCCGTGTGCTGGTTCTCAGTCCCCTCCTGGACTGGCCTCCCTCAGCCTGAAGTGACTCCCAGAGAGGCCAGCCCCGTCCTAGCAACTCACCCACCTAACCCTGTCGAGGGGTCCTTTGCCAAGACCAGTGTCTCCTTTTGGCTGATGCCCTATCTCCAAAGTTCTCTCACACCCCGTTTTTATATGCCTTCGTCCCTCTACCACACAGTCATTTGTGTGGAGCAGGAACCTTGCATTATTTATCTTATATTCCTGGTGTTGAGCACAGAACCTGACACTCCGTATTCACGTAATGAATGTCTTGCTGCTGGACTGAATTGAGTCCGGGAAGGGAGAGACCAAGTAAGGCTGGACAGTTTGGGAATGAACACTGCGCTGAGGAGGTGGTCCTGGGTCTGAGGACTCAGAGGTCCTGAGGGAGTCCAGGCTTCGAGGAGCTTGTGTGTAACACTCCCTGCCTGTGTTTGGAGTCAGTTATGTGATGCAGCTGCACAGATGAGCGTGGGACCTCTGTCACCAGTGGAAGTTTGGAGGATGACACTTGGGTGCCCCCACTGAGTTCTTGACTCTCCCCAGGGTGAATCACTTACCTATCCGGTCACAGGCTGCCTGGGGCGACTGCAGGCCTCCCCACAGGATACTCATGAGCAGAGAAGGGGGTGCAGCCACCAAAAAGGAGAGGGTGGGAGAGGGGCCACCTGGGGACCTCCTCATCTGATTTCCTGTTTCCACTGACTTCACGACCTCTGCTCAGATGTCACCCCACTGTCTGCCCCCTCTCCCCTCTGCTACCATGGAAATGTGGAACACCACTACTTCCCCCAAAACCCACGTATATCACACATGACGGTGCTGACTTGGCGTTAAGGAGGTGGCCTTATAACACAGCTCAGCCAACAATGGGGAATTTACTCTGAGACCAGGGTTGGGTCACATCTGGCCTGGTGTCTGTTTGTTCAGCCTGTGGGTTAAGAGGGAAGGGCTTTACATTCTTCAAAGGTTGAAGAAATCAAAAGAAGAAGAATGTTTCAGTGCCACATATGAAAGTGACATGAAATTCCAGTTCAGCGTTCACAGAGTTTTATGAGGATGCCGCCTCACGCACCCCTTTTGTCCTGTGCAGTGCCTTTTGCTCTGTAAGTGTCTGTGATCATATAGTCTGCTGAGCCTAAAGTGTTCACTATGCGGCCTTCTCTAAGACGTTTCAGGTCCTTTGTTTCCCAGCCACTGACTCTACCCCAATGTGTGGCTCCCATCTGGCCGGTGTGACCCCTTTTCTCTCCTTTCTGCATGTCCAGGTCCCCCCTCTCTTCCTCCCTGGCCCCTTCACGCCTCCAGAATTCCCCTCAGAACACCCTCATCATCCTCCCTTGGGGGGTGGGGATGGTGACCGTGATGGGTGTCATGCCTTACTACCTATAACGAAATCAGAGCACGTTTGTGAATAAAATAAGGAATTCTGTGACCAGCTTTTAATATTAACGTGTTACTCCCCTTGATAGCACAACTGTGTCCAGTAGGGATCGCAGGCGAGATATTTATGCAGCACCACGGTCCACTCACCATCCTTCCTGTAAACCCCCAAAGATTTCAGGGTGGCATCCAATTTGTTTATTATTTACCCCCCACAATTTTTATCAAAATAAAACAAAACAAAGACAGAGAAACATGTTTTCCTTTGGATTTTATTTGTCTAGAGGCACTTGAAGAGCATGGATGGCGCATCTGATATAAGGATGAGAAATTGAAAGCGGAACTAAGTAAAAAGCAAATAAAGCGCCTTACATAGACAGAGACGGCGAGTCTGAAATTAAAAAGCTGATTTAGAAATCATCTGAAAATACTCAGTGTCCCTGGGTCAGGCATGAGTTAATTAAAACTGCGAGAAAAATCAACAGGCATACCATAACAAAAGCAGTTAACCAAATGTGAGTCATCATGCACTTTTGGACCCTGCGGAGCCCCTTGAATGCCCAGTTGCTCTCGGTCTCCCTCAGGTCTCGCTTTTGCTTTTCCACCTGTGAATGCACCTGGGCCAGGTACCGCCTGTGGCCTTCCCCACGGGCGTCCCCCCCACCTCCCAGGAGCAACTGTGCCTCAAAGAAGAGGCCGTTTGTGTGGAAGGCGCCGTCGTGCTCCCTCTCCAGACTCTCGACCACAGCCATCAGCTCCGCCAGCTGCTCCCTCTGCTCGTCCCTGGGGGCCCGGTTGTTGAAGGCACAGTACCTCCTCCCGCACTCCTGGACCACGCTCCGCAGGCTGCAGTTGTCGGTGTTGGCCACGTACTCATCCAAAGAGTTGCCCTCTAAGTCCTCCTTGTGAGTGAAGAGCACGATCACGTGTCTCATGGCTCCTGCCCCAAAGACCTCCTTCACCCTCCTCACTGCCGTCGTGTCCTGGGCAGTGAAGCGCCCCAGCTGCGTCACCAGCAGCAGCACATGGGGCCCCGGGGCCGTGTACAGGTAGCAGTCCCCAATGTCCTTGTACATATCTTGGTTCTGGGCCTTTGCCTCAAAGATGGGGGGCGTGTCCACCACCAGGATGTTCCTCCCGTTCCATGTGCCGGTCGCCCTCTGGCATGTCCTGGTCACAGCCTGGGCCCCCAGCTTGGACTCAAACACTGGCTGACCAAGGATGCTGTTCCCTGTGGCACTCTTCCCGCTGCCGGACTTGCCCACCAGGATGATCCTCAACTGGTTATCTTCTAATTTGTCTGCAAAAGAATTTTTGTGTCTTGCTAAGTAGGTGATTCTTAAGATTTTTTGGTCATGGACCCTCATGGTATCTCATGAAAGCTATGGACCTCCCGCCCAGAAAAAGTCATAGCTGAGTAGATACAAAAGTTTGCAGACAACTTTAGGAGGTTCTTGGATCGTAGGAGGAAACCCACACTTGGACCCATAGCCAAGTGTAAGAACTGCTGCACTAAGGAGGGTGTTCCAAGCACTTCATCTAGACCTGGGAAAATACAGCTTTTCTAAAAGAAAAGTGGCCCCTTCGTTTTTTCCACGGATGGTGCCTTAGGCCAGTTTCATGCTGAATAAATGTGAGATTAGAAGGAGGCAGAGGATGAGAGGTCACAAATGAGAAAATGATATCACCTCTTTTTCACCCTCAAATTCCCAGGCACACTTGTGCAGGAGCTCTCAGATGTCAGAGCCATAGTGACTTGCCATCAAGGACCAGCTGAAGGTCCCTGGGTCTCTGCTCTTTGGGTGGGGAGTTGGATGTTTGAAACCCAGACGACAGAAAGGTCATAGTTAATGTCAAGGACAAAGCCCGGGAGATGCTGCTGGATGGGTGGCTGAAGACAAGTGGAATGTAAGACCTTTAGAAGTCCATGGGCTAGAAAGATCATCTATTTGGCTGATTGCATTGCAGGAAATTAACACACCTGGTGTTGGAGAGGGTGACACTGAGCTGAGAGCTAAACTCTTCAAGGGCTGAAGAAGGGTGTAGAAACCGAGGGTTTCTAGAGTTCTTACTCTAGAGCCCAAATGAATTCTAAGTTCATTGTAGGCTCCTAAAATCTATTATTTTATTCCTTCTACTCTGTGTCGGTTCTTTCTTTCTTTAAGTGTTCTGGGGTGTTTTCTCTACGGGGAACTTTCCATTTTTCTTTCAACTGAGAGCAGACAAGGAAAGAAACCATATTCACAATTCAGTTCCCAATCCTCCAACTTCCGACCTGAAGTTTTGTTTCCACATTTCCCACACATAGGGGGTATGATGATGGTGGGGAAAGTAAAGAACAAATGACAGTTGCCCTGTTCTTCTTTAGTTTAAAATAACTGCATTTCTTTCACTGTGTTTGAGTTGAGGGACAGGTGGAGAGAGAATAGTGACTCTCCCCTTGTGCCTAGAGTTTTTGAGGACTTCGAGGCTTTCTTACCTTCAGCCATAGTTCCATATCTGCTCTTCTGAAGCCCCTCCATTCTCTTCTGGAATGAAAACAGGAAATGAATAAAAAGCAAGTGTCCATATGGGAGTTGGTAAGGCCCGAGGACACCTCCAGTTCAGAACCCTAAGAATAATTCTCCTTCGATAAACCATTTCCATTGCTGGTTTCCTAAGTCACATACTTTCAAACATCTACAAATAACTTTTAAGTAAACCAGGTGATGCTAGGTTATGTTACCACAGTGCACTGTTGTTTTTGTTTTCAGCTTACAGGAAATCAGACAATGTTTTAAAACAAATCAGTTGATTATCTCCCTCCAACTTGAAAAGGCATGAAATGAAGTAAGCATTCTGTTATGGAATGAGGAGTGGGGTTTTATTATTATTATTATTGTTATTATTATTATTGTTATTATTATTATTTTGGAATCAAAGCAGGCAAATGTGCTAGGGGAAGTACTTCCCCTCATGTCAGTTCTTTATAAAAATCCTCATCCCTGATCCCACCCTCCCACTGGAAGGTACATTGTACTTTTCTCTCGGCCGCTGGAATATCCACCTGGCACAAAGCGTTTCTGGGACCAGAAATTCCCAGTACTTCAAACAAGTGAATGTCATTTACAGCAAAACGATCTTTTACTCTGTTCTAGCAAGTTTGCTGTTATCTCCGAGCAGTTGGTGGACAAGGTGGTGCCATGATTGAAGAGAAAGAGTCAACATTCAGGATAAATTCAAGAGAAACTCATTTCCTGCTCCGTGTTAAATCAAATGTTTTTCCTGGCTGGCTCTGAGGCCCTGGCCTCCCAATAGTCACTATTTTGGTATCCCAGTAGGGTTAATTGGAAATTGGCATGACCATTGGCATCTATTGGCACAAATGTTTCATTCAAATGAGGCATAATATTGTGTCACTCTTCTTGGTGTTAGAAAAGGCAAGCCTGCGACATGCAGCTATAACAAAGATAAGGTTGTATTTGGGCCGGCCGAGTGGTGCGATGGTTAAGAACTGGCTTGGGATGCCAGAGGACCCCGGTTCGGATCCCACATATGAGGGCCAGTGACACTGCCCTCTACAGCTAAGATGCTGAACAACAGCTCAACCTGGAGCTGGGCTGC